AATGTTAACAGGAGACAATTCCAAAGAGACTTTGAGAAATTCTAGGAGCCCGCCTCTAAAGGATATGTGTATTCTGTTTGGTTGTTTATTTGCTTTTGCTGCATTCTTCAAAAAAAGAAGCAAGTAAACAAATACAACATTTTCAATTTCTTTTTGAAAGTCCAATGCAGCACTAGAAAATACATTGAAAATACATTTTGTTCTAATAATTTAAATTCCTCAAGCTTAATGCTTGGGTTTGTTTCCCAAAAGCACAGCACGTTAGATTATTGAAAAGGGTCCAGAATTTTAAAGACTTGAACACAGTAAGATTTTCAGGTACAACCTGGTGTGAGCAGCAGTCTCCGGGCTCTGAAGGAATATTTATACGTAAAGTGTGGGAATTATTCCTGAACTATTCCTAATGTGACATTTGAGGAACATCTTTCTATATTTTGCTATTTGGCAGAGTACGTGACAGAGACCAAAAAGTATGAGTCATTCTTATTTTTATTGTGCTGCTGTGTGACTCAGTGGCTTGACACAAAGCTATCTTTGGCACCATTTGAAGAGTTTTGACTCTACTCAGTGGTCTGATGGGATGCTCCCTAAGCCAGATTAACTAGTCCCACTATATAGTTTGCTTTCCAGCAGAATCCTTTTGTATTATTGTATGAAGTAGGCACAGCCAACTGTGGTTTTAGGGCTTACCAGGGAAGTGACCTCAGCCTGTTTGATTTAGAAACCTGATACTGTCTGGAGTGTCTGGGTGGCTTAGCTAGTTGAACATCTAACTCTGGATTCCAGCTCAGGTCCTGATCCCAGGGTTGTGGGATAGAGCCCCGCCTTGGGTTCTGCGCTGAGTTTGAAGCCTGCTTCAGATTCTCCATCTCTTTTCTGCCCCTCTCCCCACACTTGTGTTCTCTCTCTCTAAAATAAAAAAAAAAATTTTTTTAAGTTTAGAAACCTGATACAGTCAATGTATCCAAGCATCCTCAGACTAAAATATGGCTTGGGGACCAGAGTCTTCTAACTGGGCAAGGGTTCTAGCTTAGGCAGATAATAATTTCCTAACTTAGATAAATGTGCTTAAGCTCTTTGAGTTTCGTTTTCTAAGTGTGGCATAGAGAAAATAGGGTGAACACTATGGGTGAGAAAAAGTGATAATAGGTGAAAACCATTTGAATGAAGGTCCACCACATTGAAGGTGCTGGATAAAGGACGGTGTGGTAGCATGACACAATGTAAAGAGATCTGAAGTAGACTTCTTTTATTAACATTTTTGTAAAGGTTTATTTATTTTTGAGAGAGAGAGACAGACAGACAGACAGAGCATGAGCAGGGGAGGGGCAGAGAGAGAGGGAGACACCGAATCTGAAGCAGGCTCCAGGTCCTGAGCTGTCAGCACAGAGCCGGACGCAGGGCTCGAACCCACGAGCGGTGAGATCGTGACTTGAGCCAAAGTTGGCCTCTTAGCCAACTGAGCCACCCAGGCATCCCCTGAAAGAGGCTTTTATTTTAGAAAGGTAAGTCTGATAAACAAAGTAGAAGGTAGGCTGGGGGTAGAGGGTAAATCCTAGAAGCAGAAACAATTTTCTGATAGACCCTGGAAGTCTAGGCCAATAACCTCACACGAAAGGCTGGTTTATAAAGCAAAATGCTATTTGCTTATTTGGAATAAACTAAGCATAATATTTAGGTTCAATACATGTGATATTGATAGTCTCAACCTTTTCTAAAAATCATTCACACAAATGATACGGAGATACATTATAGTGTTAGTGATCATCCCACGTAGGCTCTACCCACAATTGCACTGTCATTCTGTCTCCCTGTGAAGACAAACAAGGATTATGTTTTACTCAGCACTTAAATAAATTGTGCATTTCTTAGGAGTCGAAAGGGCACTCAGGTATTACTGTCTTGGGCACTTTATGTAAGCGTAACTTAGCAAATGATACATCAAAAAGAAGTGAAGATATACCGGCCCCTGGAACTGGGTAACTGATGTTCATTTTGTATCAGCTTTGTTTCCCATGTGAGTCTGTGTCAAGGGCCCACTCTTCCAGCGAGGGTCTCAGATTGACAAATCCATTTCTTCCTCCTCTCAGAGTTAACCAGATCAATTATGGTGTCCTGCCGGCAATAGCACATGTATCCCTTGACCCACGTAAAATCATGAGGCAAGTGTTCGTTCTGTAGGCAATGGACCAGGTAGTCTTGATAATTACCTAGACTTTAGCCAGGAGCTGACCAGCACGTTTCTCATATTTGGTCCTGGTTACAAGCACACCCTACCCATTGGTACCGTTTCTCATATGTGGTCCACTTACTCCAGAATCATTTGAGCTGCTTACTGAAAATATGGATTCTGCAACTCAATTCAGATCTTTCGAGTCTCTTGGGATGGGTCCTAGGAATCTGTATAGCATCCACTGTGGGTGGCAGTGGTGATGGGAAGGCTCATAGGATCCTTCACTCCATCTATGGCCAGCAGGAGCTACGAAACTCCCTGGGAGCCTACTGTGTACTGGGCATGGGGGTTTTTGTGAGGTAAGCACGGTGCACTTGCCACCTAGGCTTGGCTCCCTCTCTAAACATCCATCTCCCAAGTAAATGGGCCCACATGTCCCTCCCCACTCATCAAGCAGAGGAATCAGAAGACACAACTGGGTCTAAGATACAGGAAAGATGGAAATCCCTGGGTTTACAACCAGCCTAATCCATTCATAGGGGTGGGAATTAGGGAATAGGGCTCTAAACTTCAGCAAGTTTGAAATGAGCATTTGCTAGAAAAGCAGTTGTCAAACTTTTCATCTCCATACCACTTACACTCTTGAAAAATAGTTGAGGATCCCAGAATTCTTTTGCTTATGTTCAAGCTATCAACGTTTGCTGTGTTAGCCATTAGAACTGAGGATGCTTGAAAAGATTAAATAATTCCTCAAAAATAACAAACTCATGGGGTGCCTGGGTGGCTCAATCGGTTAAGCGTCCAACCGTTGATTTTGGCTCATGTCGTGGTCTCATGGTTCTGGGAGTTCAAACCCCATATCAGGCTCTGTGCTGACAGTGGGGAACCTGCCTGGGATTCTGTCTCTCCCTCTCTCTGCCCCTCCCCCATTTGCTCTCTATCCCTCCCGCAAAATAAATTAAAAATATTTAAAAAAATAAACTCATTAGACGTTAACATAATTGCTTATTTTTATTTGAAGAAACTCTAATTTTCTCGAAATCAAAGTGAGAAGAGAGACATTATTTTAAAAAAATTTTTTTTAATGTTTGTTTTTGAGAGAGAGAGAGAGAGACAGAGTGTGAGGGTGGGGAGGGGAAGACAGAGAGGGAGACACAGAATCCCAAGCAGGCTGTGGGCTCTGAGCTGTCGGCACAGAGTCCGATGTGGGGCTCCAAACCACAAACTGTGAGATCAAGACCTGAGTCGAAGTTGGACACTTAACCGACTGAACCACCCAGGAGCCCTGAAGAGAGGTATTATTTTATACTTTTACAAATACTATTAATGTCTACCTTAATGTAATACAGTTCTTATATCTGCTTTTACAATTGATTTGTGGCAATATGTTGTCTTGTTTGAGGTATATGAAGAAAATGTGGTCTCATATAGACATAGACATGTAGTTCAAAATGGAAGGAGTATTTTAGTAGCCTTTTCAGATAATTGTGGATATTCCTGTTTGATGTGATGCCCAAAGTTAATAAGTGGTAGTTTTTTAAAGCTTGGTTGTAGTATGTTCAATCCAACCCCATCAATGAACTCTTCATTCTCTGCTACATGAAAACCCATGAAAACTTTGAATGGATATTGTACCCATGTAGGATTTTATACCTTTACCCATTGATATTCAGAAAATACCAGTTCACCTTAGTCCACAGATCTTCTAAATACTGACACATTTCATTTTGCAATATGGAAAACATTGCTGTATTGGCAAAAATACAACAACCTGGGTGATGGTGAGAAAACAGAAATGTCCTGTCTTCTGGGTCTGGAGGCTAGAAGTCAGAAACCAAGGTGTGGGCAGGGCCATACTCCCTCCAACCTGTAGGGGAATCCCTTCTTGCCTCTTTCTACCTCTGGAGGTTTGCCAACGATCTTTGGTGTTCCTTGCCTCGTGGCACATCACCGGAGTCCTCCATCATCACATGGTGCCCTCCCCGTGTGTCATCACATTGTCTTCCTCTGTGCATGTCTGTCTCCGTGTACAAATGTCCCCCCTTTTTAAGGACACCTGTCATATTGGATTTGAGCTGACACTTAATGACCTCATGTTAACTCAACTATATTTGTAAAGGCCCTATTTCCAAATAAAGCCACAATCTGAGGTCCTGGATGTTAGGACTTGAACTTTTTTTTTTTTTTTTTTTGAGGGACACAATTCAAGCTACAACACTTGCAATCATTAACGTCACCACTGAACTCATTCCAAAAAGTCTGCAATTATTATGAAGCTTATAGTGGTGGATACAAGTCTCCCCAAATTCCAATTTTTTGCTTGGCAGCTTGCATTTTATCACTGGCAACAAACTTTCGGGTGTTTCCCTCGAAGTGACAGGCTCACTTTGTTCATTTTTAAGAAAATGTCTGCCAAATGCCTAGGTTTCAATAACCACAGTTTGTCGGTTGTTTCTTCAGATAAAAACGGTGCTCTCTAAACATGTTACTAGGGCAGCGTGCTACGCACTCACTTTTTCCGTGTGACTTTCTTTTTTTTTTTTTTTGTGATACTATAAAAGTTATTTATTCACTATACACAGGACATGTCCCCTATAAAATGTACAAGTAAATCACTAAAAAGTATAATCTGGTGAACATTTTCTCAATTACAGAACACACTAAATCAGTTGGGATAACAGCTCTCTGTCTGCCTCAAAATAATCTAATTATAGCACCCAGAGTCTCCTTTAGATCTAATGCAAAGTTACTTATTTTTGGGATTATTTCCTAATGTGTGTTTGAGGAGGCAGAGTTAACAATTTAATATAACTCTAGTATATTACAGTCACTGCACAATGAATCAGTTTATTACAGATTAAAACATCATTTTTTCATTATTTGTATTAATGGGATGCAAACAGAAATACTGGATACTTTTAAATGGCAGATAACCACAAAATGATCATTGATAGTATTCTGGGTTTTATAATTACATTAAGATATGAATGGTGTAAAATATTGTTACGAAAAATACACCTCAAAACAATGAGGCCATACTGTAATGATTGACTATATTGTGCTCAGTAGGTATTTATTAAGTCAATATTCTCTATTTTTCTCCCCGATTACCCAGGACAATTTTTGCCCACAGTAAGGGCTCAGTAAATAAATGTTTGCTGAATATACTGACTTAGGACAGAGGTGAGAAGAGATGGACCCTCTTAGCTAGATGTCAAGTATTCTAATTGGAATTTATCTGGAAAAGAGAGTGTAAGATGTAAACTGCACATGGCATACAAGTAAACTCAGATGCCAACAAAGCAAACCATTAAGCAGAAAAACACTGGCACTGGAATAAACAAAGGCAAGATTTGCCAATAGCAAAAATGGAACTGACTTTAAGAGATAACCAAGAAAAAGTTTATATTGGACCATACCTTTTCTCACCCAATTCAGTTTGAGACAGACCAATAGAGGCACTGTAAGAGACTATGGCTGTCTTCCTTGATATTCAAACATCCTAGTTTCCAATAGTTTATTATGGACCTGTTACCCACGAATCAATATAAACCTATTCAGATTTAGGGATTAGTTTCCACAGGTACAAAGTTGAATTTCTTTTTATTTGTCCTAAAATGCTTACTTTCAAACTTGAAGGGACTTCAATTATTCCATGTAGTTTCGATAACATTCTTTTATCTTTTCAGACCAGAGTCAAAATATTCGTACAGTATTCATACTGCAGCACCTTCCACCCACCCTTTGGTCGCTTGAACTGCCCTTCTTTGGTTCTTTTTCCGCTTTCTCAGATCTTTCTTGAAGTGTAGTAAGCAGAACTGTACTGGGTATTCCAGCTGCAGTTTGGTCTATCATTGTCGGAATGGCTTCTGCTACGCCGTGGTCTTCCAGCCGGTCTACTGTTTCTAGGACTATAAGATCTTCTATAGTTGTAATCAAAGGACCGGCTTCTTGATCTTCTTCTTTCATAACTTCGGCTTCTAGAACGTCTGTATCTGTCATAATCATCATAGCGTGAAGAACTGTACACATTCCTCCCTTCCTTGACTTTCATTTGATTTGGAGTCTTCCGATCCCCCTGTGCAAACTGTATTTCAATTTGGCGTCCACAAATCCATTTTCTGTCCAAATTATGTAAAGCGTCTTCGGCATCACGTACATCCTCAAATTGAACATAAGCAAATCCTCTTGGACGACGCGTGTAGAAATCAAGTGGAACATACACATCAACTATAGGACCATAACGACCAAATTCTCGTCGTAAATCTTCGGACCTCGTATCGTCGGCCACGTTCCTTACGAACAGAGACGTGTTGGGGGGGCGCAGGTAGCGGGACATCACGGCGACGTGAGTCTCGGCAGGGGCACTAACGGGCTCACTAAACCGTCCGCGGATCCGGCGGCGGATCCTCAGACGCTCAGCCAGAGGGGTCCGCTCCCGTGTGACTTTCTTAATGAGGAGTCGGGCTGCTGGTTAAAAAGCCTGCGTGTGATTTTTCACGCGGGTGTGACCCGCGGCCATTACAAAAGCTTCGCCTGGTAGGCCTTCCGGGGGAGAGCTGCCCTCCCCACACCATACCTGGCACACAGCCGGCCTATCACAGCCTCTGAGCAGAGTTTCCCTGGAGAACTCAGACTCCCCTGATCTGTCATGCTCTTTGCATAATACTTACCTTCCTCACCTGGGCACCTTCCTTTCTAGGTCTCTTGATTAGAAGCCTCGGGCAGAGGTCTTCCTTAGGTGCCTCTGCTTATGGGGGAGGAGGGGAAACTCTTTTCCCCAACTCCGACCCAGCACCAGTACTTTTGCACTCCAAACCTGACCCTGAACTCTTCCTCCTGAGCCCAGAGGCCACAAAACCACCAGAATCTTTTGTTCGGGCGGCTCCATCAATGGTGAGATGATCCACCTGACCCTCGACTGGTGTGCCCTTCCAGGAGGGGGAAAGGAAACGGGAGTCGGCGTTTTCTCCTGGTTTAGCCTCTTGCTTATCCCATCGCAGTAAGTAAAGGCTTAACTCTTTTCCTTTTCGGCTTGTTCCTTCAGCGAGCTGTTCTGACACGTGACAAACAGCTCCGTTTTCTCTCCCAGCTCAACTGAGCTCTGGAGTCCAGAGGGCATTTCCTTGCCAACAACTATAATACTTGGGGATGTAGCAAGAGTACTCGATGTGTGCTTCCTATTTCATCATAGAGAATGATAAAAGGCATGTACTTGCAGGCTGTACAGGTTGAGTCGAATACTATTGTAATATATTTTACTAGGCAACCAAGGACATTCTTAAGTGAACCTGGCCTTTTTTTTTTTTTTTTCATGGTCAGTGCATGGCAGTAGACTTACTATGACCACTGCAACAGGTTGCGGCCACTGCCTTGATTTCTTCTAAGGCATCAGTTTTACCAACCATTGCTTCCCTTATCATCAGTGCAAATATCAACACAGTGAAAGTCACACAGCACTTCAGCATTATTGTGAGAATGGTTTTGACCTCGAGGACCCCCCGAAAACGTTTCAGGGTCTCCCAAGGAGCCACACCACCCTTTGAGAACCTCTGTGTGAGTATAGTCTCTGAGCCGCATGACCTCCCCCATGGTGGCCTAGCATGATGGTGTTACAGAAACTGATGGAAGCTTTGAAGTCTGGGAAATCAGGATCTTAGCTATTCTTCCATCTCTAATATCTGACAGTTTGTCAGGCTAAAAGAGTGTGTTTGTGCTCTTCATCTTCAGTTGCAAAAGCTGGGCAGAGTCAAGTGCTCTGAGCAAAATCCTGAACCAAGAGAAGCCTGAGAGGGATGTGTTTGCCTTGGGCCAAGCCCGAACAAGAGAAAGTATACCTCCTTTTTCTTGTGGACCAAATTCCATGTAGAGAGAGCACAGCATCCGCCATGGGGGGAGAGACTTCAGCAAGGATCTCGTACTGGCAAACTTAGGGATGCTGGTTTTCCCAGAGACCACTGCCAAATCTTTCAGGGATCTCAAATCACAGCAGCGTGTTTCCATTTGAAATGTTGCTGCCGTAAAACCTTGGGAACCTGTGATGACATTAGTAGCCAGTGGTCTGCAATAAATGTGGACAATTAGTACAGACCTCACCAAAAATGGGAGGAATGTTTGGTCTTCTATCAATATTTATAAAAAAAAAAAAATTAAGTCATTCCACCCACAGTCCTCCAGCAACGTTTGAGATGATAATCATCCTTAACTGGGAACAGAAAGCCCTTAGCTGACCATTCCAGCCCTGATTATCTTTCCAGTCTCAGCTCTTGTGGGTCTCTGCCCTGATTTTCCACATTCCAGCCAGCCTCCCAGAGCAGGACAGGCCACATTCTCTTGCATTCCTCCATCATTACCTCTCCTGTCCTTCTGCTTCTGACAGCTTTCTTCCACCTCTCTGGACCTCCTCCACTGGCCAAACTGTGAGTCACCCTTGAGGACTCAGCCCATGCCCGTCGAAAGTCTTTCCTGGTGTCTAACATGTTGATTTTGCAGCTATGTTGACTTGTGGACATTCCAAGTACTTGTGACCTTGGGGTGTTTTCCAACACCAACAACCAATTCTCTGATTCTCTGGATGCCAGTTGGGTGTTCTGACCCTAACTAGCTGGGGTTAGCATGAGATTCCATGAGTTAAAGGAGTCAGGTTCCACAACACTGCCCATACTTCAGGTGCCAATCACAAATCCTGGGCAACCTGTCCTGACCTACCAGCTATACATTGGGGCTTCCCACAATTCACTCATCAGTTTTGATAATTTGCTAAAACAAGCCACAGAACTCACAAAGGCCCCGAACTTCTGTTTCCTGGCTTGTTGTAGAGGATGCAAATGAACTACTAGATGAAGAGGTGTACAGGGCTATGTCTGGAAGAAGCACAGGCACTTCTGTCTCTGTGGAGTTGAGGGACACCAACTTCCCTACACATTGATATGTTCACCAAATCTGAAGCTCTCTGAACGCCACTGTTTAGGACTTTTTATGAAGGTTTCATTACATAGGCATTATTGATTAACTTATTGGCCGTTGATGGATGATCACCCCAATCTCTAGTACCTTTCTCCTCCCCAGAGGTTGGGGCTGAGGGTTTCAGGTTTCTAATCAGGACTTGGTCTTTCTGGCCACCCAGTGAGCTATCTAGGGGCCTGCCAGAAAAAAAAGGATGCTTTTATCACCTTTATTCAGGAAATTCCAAAGGTTTTAGGAGCTCTGTGCCAGGAACCAGGGACAAAGACTAAACTTCTTTTTATGACACCAAAGATCCTATAATCCAAGGCATTGTACGTCATCTGTATCAGTCACATATTCAATCCATTTTCATATTTCCATATCTCAGATTAGGGCTCAGGGATAGGGTGACATTTGGACATAGGATGAAGTTCAAGGATATGGTGAAGGAGTCAATGGCATATGTTGTTGGATAATTTTGAAAAGGTAAAAATTTAATGTAAAAAGTTTAGATTATAAAATGCCTATGACGTTAGACGTTTATAATTGCATCTCTGCCTCCTGCTTTGTAACCTAATCTCCCAGGCGGATTTAGTAATCATAGTAATCAGAGTACGCATCCTGGGCATACTTCTATCATAGCACTTACCGACATTGTATCTTAATTTCTTACATATTCATTTATCCTACTGGGTTTTACGTAGGAAGTCTTTCTTTTCAATCTCCCCCTAATGTAAAAATCTTTCACATTCCCTCCTTTCTGCTGTATCCTCTATTGCATACATGAATCTACCATAGCACCTGTAACACGGTGATTATTTATTTACGTGTTTCAGAATTTGACTTCTAGATCACTAGCCTTTTGACAATTTAGACCACCATTTATTGGTCCTATATTCCCAATGTCCATATTGACATTTAGTCAATATGTCTTGAATGTTGGAAGATATGAATTGAATGTCTGTTTCCCTAATGTCATCATCTGTAACTTGTATTTTCTTGTCACATATCCAAGTAGCCCCCCACATGTGACATTTTATATCTACACTCCTGTAACCTACCTCCCATCTTTGCTTCTTGGACACATGGGCTACTACCTTCTCAAACTCCCTAATAACTGTGTTTCTTTGCTTGCCTTGTCGCTGATGATTCTCTATATCATCATATTATTAACTCTCTATATCATCATATTCATTTAGCTCAATTAAGACTAAGGCATCAATTGCCTACTACCAGACCTGTAGCAGAGGCTCACCTGAAGGGGCTTTTTTTGTATCGATTTCTTCTGGGCATGCTCTCTCTAATGGTTGCAGAGTAGCCCCAGTACTGAAGGCCTTAGGGTAGCTGGCCAGTTGAATGTCACTACTGGACTCTGAAATAAACAGACATTTGCATCCCCCTGAAGCATCCAGAGACTATTCTATGTAAGGTTCTATAATTTCTCTTTACTTTCTAATGGTAGTGAAGATTCACACCAGGTTTTGAAATATTCAAAGGTAACTTAAAAGTCACGGTGGTTTTTGATAAAGAATTGGGTGGTTTTTACAAAATAACCACTACAGGTCATCCTATACAAGTTAGTTATAAAGTCAAACTATAAGATGGTGTTTAAATAACACTAATGGATAATTTTCTCTTAAGTGAGGCTTGCTCACTACTTTTCTTCCTTCAATATTTACTTATTATCTGCTACATTCCAAATGTTTGTCTAGCAATTGAGCACTTTTCTTGCCCTCTGGGAGTTCACAATGTGGTTGGCTAAGTGGGGTGTGGGTGTGTGTAACTTATTGATAGTTGCCACAATATTTATACACATATTCATTTAGAATATATTGTTTGAGCTTCTGTGATGTGCCAGACGCTGTTGTGATATTAATGAACCGTGACTCTTAGAAGTCATATGGTTTTTAAATATTTGATTAGTCATCTCTGTTAAATCTCTTCATTCCTTCCTATTAATAGCTTCAAAATTAATAAAAAAAATTCACTGAAATGATGAAGTTTTAGTAAATAAGTAATAATGAGTTTGAACGATGAGTAATATTTCATTAAGAGAAATTTTAGATCTTCATACATTCTGTAAGGGAGAAAATATATCCTGGAAGGATTATTCAATTCTACTCTTTTAAAAAAAATTTTTTTTTAACGTTCATTTATTTTTGAGACAGAGAAAGACAGAGCATGAATAGGGGAGAAGCAGAGAGAGAGGGAGACACAGAATCTGAAACAGGCTCCAGGCTCTGAGCTGTCAGCACAGAGCCCGACGCGGGGCTCGAACTCACGGATCGTGAGATCATGACCTGAGCCGAAGTCAGACGCTTAACCAACCAAGCCACCCAGGCACCCCCAATTCTACTCTTTATTTTTTTTTTAACGTTTTATTTTTATTTTTGAGACAGAGAGAGACAGAGCATGAACAGGGAGGGGCAGAGAGAGAGGGAGACACAGAATCTGAAACAGGCTCCAGGCTCTGAGCGGTCAGCA